ACAGAAGGAAAGCGTCGCTAGCGTTCTGCTCCGCGGTGCAATTTTATGGTTTCAAGTGCGAGAAGCTGTAGAACTCGTTGCGATGAAAGCCGATTTCTTCTAACTTCTTTTCCCCCTTCCTCTCTGTCGCGCGCGGCTGCAGGTCGCCTGGTCGGCGCCCTGGATGCGGTGCTCGATTCCAACGCCCGGGTTGCTCCGTTTCGGATCCTACTCCAAGTTCCCGGATCGCAAGTGTACTCTGCCATAGCATGTGGTGAGTTATTGACCGGATCCGACGTTTACTGGGCCGTGGCTATTGGTGAGTCCCACACGGAAAGCGCCGGTTCTGAGCACGGTTCCGAGCATGCTCGGTCTCTGCATGGCCACCAAGCTCAAGGTAACCCCGACTAGCGGAGCGAGTGCGTGGAGCCCCCGGCTGCAGCTTGATTAACAGTCAAATTAACCTTCGGGTGAATTCGAGGTGTTAATCATGAGAATGTGTTAAATAGGAAGGTTAAGGTGGTTCAGCTAAGGCTGTTTTGCTTTAGTTTTCTGTCTCTTGTGAGCGTGATTCTGTTCGTGTGCATAACTCTTCAGGTGGGTGTAATAGTTTCTTACAGCCAGCAGCTCTTAAGTCTGGTCTTTCACCAGTATGTGCACCTGAAGTTATTTTAATTTGCTCGCTAGGAAATGCCTCACAACTCTCAATTTTAACAAAATATAAATGGAACATTTAAAAGATGAGACAGGACTTAAACGATAATTAACTTATCATGGGGCAGTGCAGAATTGCCTGGCCTGTTGTGCAGTGATCTCTTTTGCAGTCTTCTTGCAGCTTTCCAAGGCTGAACTTTTCTTCAGGAAAGTGAGATTGGTGGGAGCTTCAGCCACCTTACCGTGCGTGCCAAAAGCATCTGAATGTGCTTGTTTTTACACAGTAGTCCTTAAAAGGGAAGCACACGCTTCCTTCAGGTTCTTACAAGCTTGTTCAGCATCTCTGCAGCAGTCACAGCTGAGATGTGTTTGCGTTTCCCGCTGTAATTCTTCCCTGTGTACTGCAAGGAAATGTTCTGCCCTGAGAAGGGGCTGCCTAGGGGAAGTTTCTGTGCAATAGCTGTGTTTTGAAGGGACCAAAGTGAAGAAAAAAAAAAAAAGTTGAAAAGTTGTGTGCTTTATTGCCCCTTCCAATCCCTCTGCTCCCTTTTTTTAAATGCCTCCCCGCTAAGAAATTTAAGGATTCAAGAGCTCCATGCTGCAATACTCCTCTAAAGACAGTTAGCTTTCACTGGGAGTGTAAGATCAGTGTTGCTGTCAGGGATTTATTGATCTGTGCCCTTTCCAGGCTGTTACTGCACAATGGCAGCACAGTTCTCCTTATTAAAGGAAATATAAATCAAAAACTTACTTAGTTGGAATGGTTCAGCATTTTGCTGAGATAAAACTGTGTTTAATGTTTTTGAAAATAGTCTCTTTTCCTCTTCTAAATGAGTACGCAGCCCTACAAAAACGAGGTTCATAGTAACAGAATGAAAAGCAGAGGGTTCTGTTTTGTATACCATGTAGGTAAAAGACATTTGCAGTTGCAGGAACTAGGGTGACGTTAGGAACCACAGCAGCAGAAGTTGCTTTTTGGGAAACCCTGGCTTGAGTGCCCAGGGAACAGCTGGCCTGGGCGAGAGCAGCCGGGGTGCAGCACGACTGGCCCCTCTTCCGGGGAGGCTGGAGGCCTCCAAATCCCTGTTCTTCGCCCCACACTGGAGTGGTCCCTGCCTCCCCTTTCCCGCGAGCCCGTGGCTGAGGTGTTTGGGACGGGCCGCGCCGTTGGGAGCTGCTCACACTGGTCGCGGGCGCCGGAGTCGCTCCCTGAGCACGACGTGGGGCTGTGCGGGCACAGGCGAGTTCAGGACGGCTCCGGCTACGCAGATGAGCACAAGAGCAGTCCCGGGAGCTCCCAGCAGGCTCCCGACGTAACTTCCTTAGGAATCGCCGTCGTGTTGTTAGTCAGTTAATTCCAATGACGTTTTCCAATCTGTGCTGACAGTTTTCTGTTCTAGGAGCTGTGGGCTTCAATGGTAATTTATGCGTAAAGGTCATATCAGCGTTACAGCCTCTTGCAAATCTCTGAGGGCTGCTAGGAAATCTGATCCATGCCCAGCACAGCTGTTCTGGCAGAGCTGTTTCCATCCAGATGGTTAACCGTGTTACACTAACAAGGGGGGAAAAAAATCCCTGGCCTCAGCCATCATGTAGATCTGTGCACTCGTGGCTTTCCTTGCAGAAGGTTTGTAGTCAAAATCGAAACACAAGAAACAGCTAAGTGGAGTGAGGGCCATTTGAAAGAAGGAGAGCGTGGTTATTGAATAAATAGTTAAAAGAGGAGGATAGGAGGAGTGAGATGATGGTTAGATTGAATACTTGGCACAGACCCACAGAAAATAAAACAAGATGCTGTGAAGAGCATGGGTACAGGAAGAGAAGTAAGAAAGAGACTGACCAGGCATATGTCATATCAGCATTAGCTACGAAATGTGAATTACAAATACAGAAGGGACCAAAGATGTGTTGGAGACGCTTGTCCAACAAAAGCGAAAGATCTTTCGGCATTCAAGCAGAATCTGTGGGAAAGACTGCACTAGTCTCAGTAAAAGATAGCGGCTGCCTGAGCCAAGGCTGGGGCAGCAAGAACAGCGTGGATGCTGCTGTGGAAGCTCCTTCCCGTGCTGTATTTCATGGGAGACAGACCCCCTGCTCTCCCACGCAGCTCGTGGCTTTTAGGCTGCTCAGATGTGGAAATTCAACTCAGCATTTGCTTTGCACAGCCATTTCAACATAAAATGACTGTTTCTGTTGTCCTTAACAACTGATACCGTTTGTTTTCTTTAGGTAAGGGCTATTTAAATGCCTCTTTCTTTTTTATTCTTATTTTTTAATTTTAGCTTGATTGATGATACTTACACAGTTCCATCACCAGGCCTTCCTGTCAAGGAAGTTAAATCTTGGAAAGTTTCCCTGCCAGTTGGCATTCTGTATGGGAAACAGAGCAGAGGAAGGTGGAAAATCCTAAGCTAAATTTATCTTGTTTTATTGTAAGGCAGCATGTTGTCTCCGAGGCACACACAAATCAAGATCTGGGTTCATGGGTTTTCTATTTGAGATTCATCTTTTTATTGTACTGCTCTGTGCTTTTTGTGTTTCATGCCACGCTACTTATTCTCTACCCTTTCCCACTAGTGAGACTCTAGAAAAAAGCACCCTTTGTTGGCTTTACATTTTTACCTCTACATATATCCAATATTTAATCACTGAAGCAGTAAGAGCTAGAGCAGCCAGATTTTCTCCTAATATTCCTGTGTTTTGCCTCTCTTTGTACTGATTTTTCTGTCCTTCTGCCATATGATCCCATGAGATGTGACTATAAGTCAGTTTTAAGCAGAAACAGCCAGCACAAGCAAGTGGCTGAAACATTATTTCTGCATTTAGTGTGAACCCCTTAAGTCCCACAAATCTCTCACATCCCATATATTTTTTTCCCTAAGATTTTTCTCTTCACCATACAATCACCTGGACTATACAAACTTATTTTTGTCAGTCTTTTAAGTGTTAAACTCAACACCTTCATTTTTAGGTGCTTTAATTACTTCAGAAAACTTCTCAAATAGGTACAAATTATGACTGTAACTTCCTCTGGAAGTGTGTATGGCATGAGTGTGCGTATGAAGGGAAGGAGAAAGAAGCATCAGGGAGTTTTGGGAATAAGACCAGTGTTTATGCTGGCTGCTCGAGGAATGTCATGTCAAAATGAGCTGTATTTTAACAGGTTGATAAAAAGTTTTGCTGCTGTTTTTTTTTTCCTGCTTTGACTTTTAATGAAGCATTTGCTGGCTGCAAACATTTGTGAAGATATTAAAAATGAAAAGATTAAAACCAATTCTCACACCAAACAATAAGGGTTTTTTTTTTTCTCCTCTAACTATACTGTTACATATTAGATTCCTTTTTTGACTTGTTTGCTACTGACAATTTTGAGGTTGAAAGTTCAGTATCTCTTAATGAATTTATGAAATGTGTTTTATTGCCTTTTCTTTTTCCTTTCAATTCCGTTTTATAGCATGAGTTTCAGTAGATTAATTTTGCTCTTCTAGGTGCCACCGTAGAGGAGATAAACCAGCACTGGGAATGGCTGGAACAAAACTTGCTCCATACTCTGTCTGTGTTTGACAATAAAGAAGATATTGTTAGTTTTGTCAAGGGGAAAGTGAAGGTAAGGGAACTTTGTCTTGCTTGACTCCCGTGCCCTGTGCTTTGCTGAAAAGCTTCACTTACTTCTGCTTCTGTTAGTGGTGCAGGGTTTCTTAGCACACAACAGATGTCTGACTGCACTGTCCAGCTTGATAACACTTTGCTGGAGGGTTACCCTGCACAGCAGAGCAGTTAAATTTCTTCAAGTTCCCTTACTTGATACCAAAGACCAGGTTTTGGCCTCTCCTGCAGCCTTTTGGCAGGCTGGGATTGCAATTGCAGATCACCTCATGTGCTGTAATACGCAAGTTGCTTATCAGAGTGGCGCAACGTGCGTTTGGATTCTTTCTAGTAACAGAATCCTTAAGGTGGGAAGGGACCTCTAGAGATACTGCTATAAAAATTCTCAGCGCTTAATTATTCCTGTGTAGGTGTTCTTAAGTCATGTTTCTAATGGTTTAAGGCATGTTGCAAGTTACTGACGCGTTTCACTGTGCTGCTTCGTTGCAGGAAAATAGTGTAGATCGGTATGTTAAATCATTCCTGTACCTTTGCCAATAACAGGAATTACAAGCAGCAGGTGAAACTACAAATATGTTTTTGCTAGACTCCCTGTGGGGCAGGGGGAGATGCGCAGGGAGTCTTGATGTGAAAGCCTAGGCCATGCTTGAGAGAGGCACACACAGCAGAAATGTATTTCTTTGGGAAACTTGGAAACCAACTTGGATTTCCTTTAGAGAGAGCTGTGCTTTTTGCAGTTTGAATGGGCAGCTTGTAGTAGCTCATCTGAATGTGAATACTGCAGGTTTATCATAATATATTATCCTGTTTTTGAATCAGGCTCTGATTGCAGAGGAAACCAGCAGCAAACTGGCTGAGCAGGAGGAAGATCCTGAAAAGTTCCGAGAAGCCCTGGTGAAATTTGAATCCAGATT